GAGTCACTGAGCTAATACAATGTTACTCAGGGGAAGGGGAGCCCCCTGGGAGCTTCAGGCTTTCTCACCTTAGTCAACAGAAAGGATTACTTTCCTAGAGTTGTTAATTACCAGCTTGAAAGCCTAGAAGACTTCATAGGGATTCCTGGGAACAGTCAAAAGGTATAGAGAGGACGGAGCAGATGTAGGAAGGCTTGCACCCAGGGATGCAGTGGAGGTGCTGTGGGTGTGAGCTGCTTTGCTTAGAATCCACCCTTCACGTCAGCAAATATGTACCCTGTGGATCAATGCTACTAGCTGTCCTGCAGAGCAGAGCAGGAACTGGGGGTTGACAAAGGTAATAAGTTAAGTTGAAGAGACCCGCCTCCTTGCAAAACGGCTCAGGGCATTTAAACAATGACAGCATTCCTCTGTGCATGGACCCTACTGTGAGCCTGCCCAGGGGAGGGGACATGGTATAGCTGCTACCCATGATGTTCTGAGGATATCCTCGCTGCCCACAAACTGTGCTGTTCCATGTCTACACCTCTTCTTGAAGCAGATGGCTGAGCAACACATCTTGCTTCTGAGCCTCTTTACAGATAACTTATGAGTTGATTTATTTTAATGCAGAACTCTGAAGTCTCCTGGTCAGTAAGCAACCAGTCAGGTAGGTTTTTCAGGCTTGTTTACCTAAACTGTGACCATTCAGAAGGCCAGGGAGTCTCCTGGCCTCTTACATATTCATCTCTTTCTTCTGGCTCTGTTTTCTTTCTATTCTCACTTTTTGTGAGGTTGGGGTTTCTTATCCCAGTCTGTTTGGGTTAAGGAAGCCTGGATTGTTATCTGGTATTCAGTGTGAAAACAGCTGGCCCCTGATTAACACTAGATAATTGGGGGGTTGTCCCTAGTCATCAGGAAGAAATCTCCACTGCCCAGTGTTGCTTGGTAAGATGGTATCTAAATGAACTGCCACCAGCAGGATCATGAAAGGGAATTATAAGAGACAGAAGATGAAAGCAGTTCCTCCGTGTCTGACAATGGGTTTCTTTAAAAAAAAAAAAAAGGCATTTATATAATTAAATGCTTATTTATTCACGGAAAAGCCAACAACAAAGTGACCCGTGGAGGAATATTCTAGAAAGTTAAGCACTAAAATTACTGTCAGTCCTTCTAGAGGATTCATTTGTTTATTCATTTAGTTGTTTCTCGGTTTTTTGAGATGGAGTCTCAGTACATAGCCTTGGCTAACCTGGAACTCACTATGTAGTCTAGGCTGGCCACAATTCATAGACATCAACCCACTTCATCTCTAGAGTGCTGGAATTAAAAAAGGTTGTTTGACGGTGGGGGATGCTTTTGAATAAAAATGTAAGACTGATGATCTTTTCTTTTTAAATTATTATTTTATGTGTTTGGGTGTTCTGCCTACATGTATATCTGTGCACCATATGTGCCCCTGGTACCCATGAAGGCCAGAGAAGAGCATCAGATCCCTCTGGAACTGGTCACAGACAGTTGTGAGCTGCCATGTGGGTGCTGGGAATTGAACCTGGGTCCTTTGGCAGACCTGTGAGCCATCTCTCCAGTCCTTTCTCTTGTTTTCAAAGAAAAAGTTATAATTTTGCTTCCTTTTCTTTGTTTTTCAAAACAGTGTCGGTATGCATGCATTCTGCTGGCCTGCCTTCAGGGACCTAGCAACTGCTTACCTCATGACCTGACAGTACCAGTGATTGGTGAGGGCTTCATAGACGAGGAACAACTAGCCACTCAGCAGCTCTCTCTGTCCCCAGCATCCCATCTATCTGTTCTCTGCAGGTGCCCCCACTTTCTCTCTTTGCCCCCCCCTTAATGGCTCTGCTCCTGTCTGTCTGTCTGTCTGTCTGTCTGTCTGTCTGTCTCTATCCCTTTCCAGGCCCTCACTCCTCTCCTGTCCCCCAGTAAACCTCTTGTACACCAGGTCTGTTGCATGGTGTAATTACAGGGGCACAGCTAGCCATGGGCCTGCTATGTATCCCCTCCCTCACCATATTGTATTTCCTAACAGACAGAGTTTCCCTGTGTAGCCCTGGCTATCCTGGAACTAGTTCTGTAGACCAGACTGACCTCGGGCTCACAGAGATCCTCCTGCCTCTGCCCTTAAATGCTGGGATTAAAAGGTATGTGTCACCACCGCCACTACCACCACACACCTAATATGGCTTTAATTTTTTTTTTATTGCGCTTACTTAGTGTCTGTGCACACACATGTGTGTGTATCCGGTAGTCCACGTTTGGAGTCAGCTGTTCCTTTCCATCATGTCCTCAAGCTACCTGTGAGTGCCTTTAGGCACAAAGCCTTCTCACCAGCTCTGCTTTCTTACAATCTAATCTTTACAGCTGTCCTACATGGCAAGCACTTAATATCCTAGAGGAAGAGACAGAGCATCCTCCTTGCCAGTAAGTATGCAGAGGTTTGTTCCCACAGACCCAGGGGTTGTCCTACCTTCTTGGTGACCCTGTCCCCTGAACTGTGATTTTTATGGGGACTCCTCAAGTTATTTCTCTCTCTCATTTGGGATGAGATGGCTAAGGGGGGTGGGCTGAGGAAGGTAGAGGAGAATCTCTCTTCCATAGGTAGGATGAAACTGCAGCAAGCGCATGATGTTGTTTCTGCTGAGTGCGAGCCTAGTTTAGAAGTGGTTTGGGGGGTGGGGTGTATGTGTGGAGAGATGGCTCAGAGGTTAAGAACCCTGACTGCTCTTCCAGAGGTCATGAGTTCAATTTCCAGCAACCACATGGTGGCTTGCAACCCTCTGTAATGAGATCCAGTACCTTTTTCTGGTGTGTCTGAAGAGAATGATAGTGTACTCACATACATTAAATAAATAAATCTTCTTTTTTTTTAAAGGGTTCTCTTTCCTTTCTTCTTCCTGCTGCCTCCGTGTTCACTGAGATCCTGGGCACAGGCCCAGGAGAGTTCCTGAGGTAAAATTTACCAAGTATGGTGGCATTCTAAGTTCCCCCGGACAGTTTTCTCCGAGGTGCCAGGAATTTGGTGACAGTTTGGGCTTGTCTCCCCGCCATGGCTGTGATTGTCTGTATCTGGTTTCTTTTCTGTTCTCTAATCTGGAGTGTGTGTTGTTAGCATTTGGTCTAAGCTCCACCCACAGTTACCTGGCAACAGCCAGGTGTGCCTGACTCACTATGAAAGGGGCTGTTGTCCTCTGTGCGCTCTCTCTTGCTTTCTCTTCCTCTGTTCCGAACCCCCCCCCCTTTCCACACGTGCTCATGGCCGGTCTCTTTCTACCTCTCTCTCTCTCTCTCTCTCTCTCTCTCTCTCTCTCTCTCTCTCTCTCTCTCTCTCTCTTTTTCTCAATCTCCTACTGTCTCAACTCCCCTCCCTATGCCTGAAAAAAAAACTCTATTTTATGCTATACCTTCGTGTGGCTGGTCCCTGTGTGTGTGTGTGAATGGATACCTTAGCATGGGCCCCATAGAGGCACCCTTCCCCCACACCTGACTACACATTCACCAAAATATAGTCTCTCTCTATCTTTTTTTATAAAACACAACTTGTGTGGTGGGAAGCAGGAGAGAGCATGTTTTGCCACATGACTTCATTAGATGTTGGACATGCCTTTTTGGCTTGTTCAGATTTGTATTTATTAGAAGGATACAGCAGTGACTTCCCAGGTCCTGAAATGCAGAAATCCTGGAAAACTCCCTTTACGATAAAGAAGCCAAGCACACACATGTGCAGGGTTCTGGTCAGGATCTCTCAGGGCAGCAGGGGTTAGAAACAAGCAGTGGAGGAAGGCATATGCTCTGTTGTTAAAGACTGATTATTTTTTTAATGGTGTGTGTGTGTGTGTGTGTGTGTGATGCACACACCCCTCTCCTCATAGCCCAGATGTGTCCTCTCCCCCAGAGCTGGAGCTTCATGCAACTGTGAGCCAGAGGTTGTGGGTTCTGAGAACCAAAACTGGACCCTTCTCATTTTGTTGATTCTGTAATCAGGACACTGGAGTCCATAGGATTATAGAATCTCTTTCATAAAATGAAAATATTGACAAGATGTCTTACAGCACTGGGATTCTGTTATAGTACAGAATTCTAAATTTCCCACTTCTGGGTACTACGATTCTTCAGTAAGTTCACTTTATTTATTTATTTATTTATTTATTTATTTATTTATTTATTTATTTATTTCGAGACAGGGTTTCTCTGTGTAGTCCTGGCTGTCCTGGAACTCACTCTGTAGACCAGGCTAGCCTCGAACTCTCTAACTCAGAAATCCGCCTGCCTCTGCCTCCCAAGTGCTGGGATTAAAGGCTTGCGCCACCACTGTCCGGGTAAGTTCACTTTAAATATCAGTGTATAAATGGATCTCGTGTACTTAAAAACTTTTTTTTTTCACGTTTACTTATTGTATGTGTGTGTGCAAGTGTACCTGTGTTCCCAAGCACATACCCCAACACAGACACACACAATTTAAAAATTAACACAGCGGGGCACGGTGGTGCACACCTTTAGCCTCAGCACTCAGTAGGGAGAGCCAGGCTGAACTTTGTAGCACAACATTGTTGTCTTGACAACAACAAAACAATACGATTAGTACTACTAATAAAAAATTAAATATAAAAACGGCCATAAAGTTTCGTGAAGAGGGACCTTTGGCAGTTCCATATTTGCATCCAGTGTTTGGGTGAAGGACAGTTTAGCTACTGTTGGCTCAAATGGTGTCCTCTCCTGGATTTCAGCATGGGGGTGGGGGGTCCGGTGGGGACGGGGGTGGGGGAATATACCTAGCATTGACTGATACTTCCTAAGCACTTCCAAACATAGCGGAAAGGATAGTGAGCTTGCAGGCTCGTCATGGGATGAACGCTGTGCAGTCCTTCACCACCTAGACAAGAAGCAGAGCCACACACGAGTGCAGCCACCACGCCACGGACTTACACGGGATGAATACTGTGCCACCCTCCTCCGGCCCAGACCGGAAGCACTGCTGCCGCCTCCAGCCTCCACCGTGGACTTACCACTTCTCCTCTTCTACTTGCACTCCCACGGACTGGAATTTACTGGGCGCCTTACTCTCTGCCATTTTCTCCGGCTCTTCGGCATCATCCACCTGAAGGAATCATCAAACAAAGAGTTGTTGCATGGTCTCACTGGGGAAGTAAACGCACTCTCACCTCAGGCTTCCGGGATATGATGAGACTCTTTTGTGATTAACAACCTCTTTGATCCACATGAGTGCACCCGATAGCAGCAATTATTACATTCTTAGCGTGCCCTCGGATCCTGTAAATGTTTTCTGGGAACATTTTTTTTTTTTTTGGTTTTTCGAGGCAGGGTTTCTCTGTATAGCCCGGGCTGTCCTGGAACTCACTCTGTAGACCAGGCTGGCCTCGAACTCAGAAATCCGCCTGCCTCTGCCTCCCGAGTGCTGGGATTAAAGGCGTGCACCACCACCGCCCGGCCTGGGAACATTTTTTAATGTGTATGTATGTTCACCTGAGTGTATATATGTGCATCATATGTGTGCACACGCCTGGGGAGGCCAGAAGAGGGCAGCAGAAACCCTGGAGCTGGAGTTACAGGCAGTTGTGAGCCACTATGTCCATACTGGAGCTGAACCCTGGTCCTCTGCCAAAGCAGAAGTTACGTGCTGGTAACCACCAAGCCATCTCTCGAGTCCCTGACTCTGCTGACTTTAATAAATCACACTTTTATTTACTTCCAAAGCTGACAAATGCCTACGATTCCTCCACAGATTTATAAGCATTGTCATTCTTTAGTCTCCACAGGAACTGGTTCTAGGGTCGCCATAGATAACCACAGCCAAGGCTGCTCGGATTCTTACATGAGCTAGCATAGTGCCTACATATTACTACCTCCATCCTCCCTTGTACACAGCCACCTCCAGAGCATTTCCATTTGATAGTATTTATATGATATGCAGAGTTTCATACTATACAGTTAAGAACACAATGAAGGAAAATTGTACAAGTTCAATACAGACACACTCTTCTTTTTTGGTTTTTGTTTTGGTGTTTTTGAGATAGGACTTCACCATGTAGCCTCGAATGTCCTGGAACTTTCTCCTTAGAGTAGTAGGCTGGCCTTGAACTCAGAGACCCACCTGGCTATGCCTCCTAAGTGCTGAGATTAAAGGCACGGTACCACCACACCCAGCCAGATGGACTTTTCTGAAGATTCCTACTTATTCCTATTGATGTTATTCTCTGTGTGTGTGTCACACATATGGGACTACTTGTGCAAGCCGGAAGATGGTGTTGAATCCACTGCAGCTTGTGTTAGAGCCAGCTGTGAGTGCTGGGAACCAACGAAGATGAACACGTTCTCCAATGATGAACCTTTCCCAACCCAGGGACATTTAAAAAAATAACTGTGGACCTGTGGTTGATTGAGTCTGTGTATACCAAACACATGAATATCAAGGGGGTAACTGCATGTAATTTTTTGTGAGTATATTCTATTAGAGAGAATGTCACCAGCAAATGTGCTCTTGGAAGTTCTAAATTACCAGTGAAGATGCAGAAAGGGGGGATGGAGATGCACCCCAGTCAGCAGATTGCTTGCCTAGCACTCAGAGCCCTGGGCTGGATCCCCAGAGCACACAAACCCAGTGTGGTGGTGCACCCCTGTAATCCCAGCCCTCAGGAGCCGGAGGCAGCCAGATCTTTGTGAGTTCGAGGCCAGCCTGGTCTACAGAACAAATTACAGAATAGCCAGGAGATTCACAGAGAAACCAACCCTGTCTAAAAAGAAAAAAATGGGCTATCGGGATGGCTCTGTGTATAAAAGCACTTGCTAACAAGCCTGATCATGGGGTTTCAGCCCTAGGACCCATGTGCTGGGAAGAGAGGACTAACTCCTTTACTGTCCTCTGATTTGTACAAGCAAGCCATGGCAGAAGGAAGCCCACATGCATGCACAGACACACACACGTAGACACAACACGTTAATGAATAAGCAAATGTAATAAAACATTTAGAGCAAAGTAGAGAGTATTGGAAGGTACACGTTAACACCAGGATAAAAATAAGGATTAAGTTAAATATGTATTTGCTAGAATATTCATAAAATATCAGTGTATAGAAACATTGACTGTATTGATTTCCCTTAGAAAGAGAACTAATTGACTATTGATCATAACTGGTTAAGGATCTATCTATCTATCTATCTATCTATCTATCTATCTATCTATCTATCTGAGGTTAGGAGCTTTCACTGCTCTTGCTGAGTATAAAGTACAGTTCCCAGCACATGATAGCTCACAAGTGCCTTTAACTCCAGTTCCAAGGCATCCAATGTCCTCTTTTTTTTTTTTTTTAATCTCTGCAGGCTCCTAGGTGAACATGGTACACAGACATGCACTCAGGTACAGTCACATACACACACAAAATAAGTAAATAAAATCTAAACAATGTTTTGAGTTTTAGATGATAAAGATGCACTAGCTATTGAAAATGACATAAAATAAAGACGTTTGGAACAGACTGAAGTTAACGTTGAGGAAACAAAGCAAACTACTATCCCACGGTGCTAACTCAGTGTCAGAAAGGCAGACATTGGAATCACCGTGGCGAAGGTATGTAACGTAAACGTTCCCACTGTAACCGTGGTGACATGCACGGATGAGGGGCGCTAAGCACATTTATCTTGCTGTGCAGCTACCACAATGAGCCACGGCAGAATTGACCAGAATCCCAAACAGAGACCTGTGTCCACTATACAATAACTCTCACATGAATCCAGAACGCGTGTGTCTGTGGTACCGGGCAGGGTCGGGTGCCTGCCACTGGGCTCCTGTGGCATGGAGGACAACTTCCAGGAGTTGTTTGACTCCTTCTATACTGGGTTCTGGACTCAAACTTGGCTGATCAGGCTGTACATCAAGAACCTTTACCCGCCGAGCCATCTTGCAGGCCTGGAATTTAGAGCTTTAAAAATTCTATTCTTGGGTGAGCAAGATGGCTCGTTGGGGAAAAGGCATCCTGCCATGCCTATCAAGCTGAACTCAATCCTGGAGCTCACATAGTGAAGGAAAGAATACCTTCCTGCGAGTACTTTTCTGAGCTGTACCTGAGTGCCGTGGCACAAAGCTCCTCCCATTCCTTGCGTGCCATAAGCTCCTCCCACTCATACAACACACGATAAATTGAAAATGAAAAATCCTCATTCTCCCCTAGTGCTCCTGATAAAATTTCATCATTTGATAGGGAAAGGTAGGAGGATCAGATCCTTTAAGGATGATAGGGGAATTTAGCTTCTAGTAGGAACGGAGAGATGCAGACTGAGGGGTGGGGTGGGAGGCTCAGACTCTTGGTTCCCACGGTGGCGTCTACGCCCGAGCTCCTTAGGAAGACTGACCACTGGCATCTGAAGGCTACAGGCGGGTCTCTGACCTCCCTCTATGAGGGAAGGATTGCCCTTTAAAAGTGAACTTTTCAGAACGGACTGTGAAAATACAACTGTAGAGGAGAAAATGTGCCAAGAGAGGGTTCAGTGCATCTAGGAATCGTGGTGTGCCATGTGGAGAAATGACTGCCCAACAGGCACCTGCAGAAGGCACCACAGACATGAATGCCGATTCCCTTATTGAATGGAAATCTGCGTAGGGCTACCCAGACAGAGGTAAAAGCAAAAGAAGAGTGGTGAGGTGGCTCAGTGGGTGACAGAACCTCCCGAAAAGCCGGATGTCCCGAGTTTGATCTTCAGGACCCATATGGTAGAAAGTGGTCCTATGGCCTCATATGTGCTACTGCAAGTGTATATGTGTGTATGCGCACAGGCACACGCACAATAAATAAAATGTGATTAAAAAAAAAAACAAAGCCAGGTCAGCTAGGTGTTATTTTAGAAAACTTACAACATAATAAAATATTTCCATAATATTTCCCTTGTGGAGAGTGAATTTTAGGGAGAAAGGAGACCAGTGATCTGAGAAGTGTCCGAGGTGGCCACTGTATTGTCACGAAACGCATGATTAAATAGCCAACAGTGACTCAAGGCGATCACACTCCTTCCTCGGGATGCCGGGTTAGCTGGTGCTGTCTATACTAACAGTCACTTTACTGCTGGCCACCCACGTCTGTCTGTGAATGATGAAGGACGTTTTGTTCCCATACTGCACTTCAACAGGATTGGGCCTAAGGCAACCTGATGATGACCTCAGCAATCCTCCGACACACACACCTCTATCACCTGTCTGTACAGGTGTGTGTCTGAAGTGCACACCTTTACAAGTATTTGTATCAGCTGTGTGTGCCTGTGTCTGAGTGTGTGTGTATACAAGTTCATGTGTGTGTATGAGAGTATTGTGTGAGTGTGCATGACTGTGTGTGAGTGAATGTGTGTATGTGTGAGTATTGTGTGAGTGTGTGCATATATATGAAGATGTGAGTGTGGGCATGTGTGTGTATGAGAGTATGTGAGTGTGCATGACTGTGTGTGAGTGAATGTGTGTGTGTGTGAGTATTGTGTGAGTGTATGTATGAGGATGTGAGTGTGGGCATGTGTGTGCCACAGCACTCTAGTGGAAATGAGGGGACATGCTTGGGTTTGGGTCTGTCCTTCCACCGTGTGGGTTCTGTAGACTGAACTCCCATTGTCACACTTGGCAGACAGCACCTCTACCCGCTTAGCTATCTTGCTGGCCCCCACACTCTTCTGCATGGAGCAAACAATGTCTTCCAGACACAACACACACATGAACTCTCTGGCAGCAGTCACAGGGCCTGCTGGGTCTGGGTCAGATGGCATGCCAATGCTGAGAGGAGAAGTGGGCACAAACTCCCATGCTACCCCGGAAGCCATCTCCAATCTGTATCTGCTTGTAAAGAAAGCTCTGTTTTCTCTAATGGAGTCTCACTGGGTATACGAACCACACTTAATGGCAGGCCCCAGGTCCAACACAAAATGAACTCAATGGTATTTGGAGGGCTTTGTCTGGGATTTTGTTTTTTACAGGTCTTTTGCTTATAGACTGGGTCTTCTGACTTGGTGTTTTGTACGGGAGCTCAGTATGTGCAAATATGTGTCTGTATCTCCATGTGTTCCTTATGCCTTTTCTTTAGCTGGTTTTTCCTGTTTGTTTTGTCCTATTATGGTCTGTCTGCCTCTATTTTATTTTTATGTGCTCATCTGTTTTCTAATGAGAGAGAGAGAGAGAGAGAGAGAGACAGAAAGAGAGGGACAGAGAGAGAGAGAGACAGAGAGACAGAGAGACAGAGAGAGACAGAGACAGAGAGAGAGGGGAGATTTGGTTGATGGGAAACCATGATCAGAATATAGACTATAGAAAAAATAGTTTCAATAAAAACAATTATTTATCTTTATTATATGCATGTTTGCCTGCTTGTATGTGTGTGCGCCACATCAATGACTGAGGCCTGAGGAGGCCAGCAGGCCAGCGGGGGCCTTGAACCACTATGAACTGGAGTTATAGAGGGTTGTGAGTCACCACGTGGGTGTTGAGAGCCACATCCAGGTCCTCTGCAAAAGCAGCAACCATTGCCTAGCCACAGCCACAGCGGTGAACTCCATTTGAGAATGAAAATGGACACAAGACACTCAAGGGTTCTTTGATATACAAACAAAGTAACGGCAGATGTAATTTCGGTTTTTCTTTTTTCTTTCTTTCTTTCTTTCTTTCTTTCTTTCTTTCTTTCTTTTTTTTGGTATTTTGATTTGTTTTAAGGAAGGCATCTGTGGTCTAAACTGTCTTAAGATGGCCTTGAACTCTCAACCATGCTTTCTTTATTTGTTTTGGGCAGAATCTTGCTATGTTACCCAGGCTGGCTTTGAACTCACAGAGCTTTGCTTATGCTCTGTTAAAGGTCTCTGCCACTACAACTGGCCTCGATTTGCAACTCTGTTACCTCAGGTTTTTGAGTGCTGAGATCACAGGCATGCACCACCCGCCCCAGCCATGTGTCCTGTTAATAATTTGAAGGTCACCTCTTAAACATAGCTCTCTCATCCCCGATGGCAAAATGGTTTCCTGGAAAACACACACACACACACACACATACACACACACACACACACACAGAGAGAGAGAGAGAGAGAGAGAGAGAGAGAGAGAGAGAGAGAGAGAGAGACTTTTTAGTGGGTTCTACTTCCAGGCACAGGGAGCAGTTACCTGTATCCCAATAGATAGGCATCTGTTTTTCTTAAAGTCTTTCTTCCTATCCTCGGTGGTGACAGTGGCTATGGTGGTGGTGGTGGTGACAGCAGCGGCATTGCTGCCCATGTGTTGACTTGCCGGGCCGTGGATCTGGGCGTTTGCAGCCTCAATGGCAGCCGTGAGAGCCTTCATACTGTCCAGACTTTCGGTGGAGTTGCTGAGGCCAGACTGGCTGATCATGTCTCCGCGCTGGCCCTGCCCGTCCATGTAGGCATCCTGCGCGGACTCTGTGCTACTCTGCGCTGTGATAGAAATGAAAGGTTTCGTGGTAGTTCTGGGTGGGACTGGAGGTGGTGTCTTCTTATATGTTGTAATGCAAGATGACACTGGAAGACAGCGAAAGCAAAGACTGTGATTTCTGCATATCATCAAGGGACAGCCATTGGGAGATCAGGGCACAAAAAACACTGACATTGAACATGACAATGAGGCTGTGGGTGGGTGGGGGGGTCATAGCTGTACCACCTATGGGGTAAACACACCCACAGCAGTGAGGGGGAGAGACTGGAGGACACCCACCTCTGAAATGGAGGCTATAAATCATCGTGAACTAGCTATGACTGGTCACCTGCAGAAACTGCCCTGGGTAGCAAGGGAGAAACTGAGGAGAAGCTTTTGCCTTCTCGGGAGAACAGTTAATACAGCCAGTGCCAAACAAAGCAGCTTGTTGGGGATGGTTTGGATGGTTGGTAATAAAAGGAGAGGTTGTGAGTATGTGCGGTTTGAGCATCCTGACATGCTTGGGCCATGCCAGCCTCTGTAGCTTCCTGGATTAGACCGGTCCACACTAAGTTCCTCTCTGCCTCTCAATACCTCTATTTTATCCTTATGGTGTCTGAAGGCCTCTCAAGACTTCTCTCTTCATCCTCTATGGTTTCTGTTTCCTAACTATCTGCCCTTTCTTCCCTGCCCCCCTCACCCTGTTTTCTTTTTTGTATAGGTGCACACTATATAAACTCTTGATCAGAAACTTTGCACACACTCACTCACTAAGAGGACCCTTAACGCCCCACACAAACTATCCACTCATTTATAGATTGCCTCTGAGCATTTGTTTGGTCTTTATTATGCCGTGCCTTCAAGAGCCACCCGAAGCCTTCCTTCAAGACACTTCACCAAGGCAAATGTCTGAATGCATTCACCCGAGGCTGCCATTTGTCCATGTCCTTTCTGAGGCTCCAACCCCTTTGTACTCATCTGGTCACAATTTTGAGCAAGTGGAAAAAACTGTGGCCGTCTCCCAGTTTCCCATGTACAGAGCTCAATTTGGAAAAAGGAAGATACAAAACATTTCCAGGATGTTCTGCCGGTTAAGGGCAAGCCCAGTGCAGTGGTCTGGAGTTGGTTCCCACCACTTCTCCCTTCCCTTTCCACACCTTCCCCAGGCACACACGGCCAGTACCCTGTGGTCATAGCAAATGTGCACGACTCCAACCTGGGTCCTAGCTGTCACTCAGACTATCTCACTTAATAAAACACTCACTTCCGTATTGACCAGGCTTCTTTAAAGGCCACTGAGAAAACATCCTATGATGGATCGCAAACAAGAGGGCCCTATTCCGCTGCCCTGCTCTCTGCTGCCTTGTGACTTGGAGTAATTCCCTCAGCCATAAAAGAAAGAATAACAGCAATGTTGGCACTGTTCTTCCCACGGATTGCCCGAGAGTCAAAGGAAGAAATCCCGCATTGTCATGTTACAGTATCACATGCTCAGGAAGACGGGGTGAATACGTAATAGGATGAGGTCATCTTAGTTATGCGGTCCGATGATCAGCAAATACTACGTTAAACCTTCCACACATGTGTATTGCCAGGGTTAGGGTTTGAACACTGAGTGATAAGCAATTCAATTCAACTTCCTCTCATGTTTCTGCCTTCAGACTAGCCTCCAGCAAGAGCCTGCTCAGACTCAGTTTCCAGATTCGATCCCTGGCTCATAGGCAAGCTTCTGGCTCAGTCATGGAAACTGGAGTGGACTGGTAAGGTAAGTTGTTTCCTGTACTTTTAACCCCTGCGGTACTGCCTCTTGCCTCCCAGACAGAGGTAAAGTGTTAGCTGTGTTTGTGATGCCACTGTCTCAGTCACCTGTTTGAAGACCCAAAGAGGTTAGAGAAGGGAGAGGGCCATGATTAGGATGTCCACTCCTACCTGACCATAACGCTGCCACACCATGACATGACTTCTAAGACACGTCTTTACCATGTGAGGTCATTATTTCACTCAAAACCTATTCTCAGGAAATTTATCCTACTCACTTTCCAAAGAAACTAAATGGTGTACCCCAGTGTACAGTCAGTATCCCAGCACACAGTCAGTGTGCATCGCAGAACACAGTGCGCACCCCAGAGCACAGTCAGTGTGCATTGCAGTGCATAGTTGGTACCCCAGCACACAATGTGCACCGCAGCACACAGTCAGTACCCTAGCACACAGTATGCACCCCAGCATACAGTGCATACCCCAGCACACAGTCAGTACCCCAGCACACAGCGTGCATCACAGCACACAGTCAGTACCCCAGCACATAATGTGCACCCTGGCACACAGTGAGTACTCCAGCGTACAGTGTGCACTCACACATACAGTATACACCCCAGCACAGGGTCTGAACTCCAGCACACAATGTACACCCCTGTACACAGTGCATACCTTAGCACAAGTTAGTACCCCAGAACACAGTCAGTACCCTAGCACACAGTACCCCAGCACACAGTGCACATCTCCACACACAGTGTGCACTGTAGCACACAGTTAGTACCCAACATACAGTGTGCACCCCAGCACAGGGTCTGAACTCCAGCATACATTGCTCACCCCCCCCACACACACATACAGTGTGTACACCAGCAAACAGTGTCTGCTCTTCTAGGCTATTTACTTATTACTCTTTGAGCTTCCCTGCTTTCTCCTTATATGCCAATAATCAAACTATGTGGGTTTTATTCTAGAAACTAATAAAGTATTCTCAAAAAAAAAAAACCCAAAACGAAACCCCAAAAAATCCCAAACCAAACCAACCAAAACCCCAAACAACAACAACAAAACAAAAACAAACCAGATCAGTGTGGAAGAAAACTCCTTTCATTTTCTATAACACACGGAAACAGTCCTGCCATGCTTACATTCCAGTATTTCCTGTACGAGGCCCGTCTCTGCCTCCTGCAAGGACCACACGCTTCCCAGGCAAGCTGTAATTTTTTTCTACTGTCAAATTGGACAGGGTGACCCTTGGGACAAGCTGCCACAGCTCCTACACTCAAAGGTGATCAGAACTTAAGATTGTCCTACAACAAGCAAGAGGGCTGGGAGCACTGCTGGGCCTTGCTAGCCCCCCACCTACTTCCATGTTCAGGGAGAGACTGTGTCTCAAGGAACAAAATGGAGTAACAAAGTAGGATACTCAGTGTCCCAGTGTCCTCCTCTGGCTTGTGTGTATCTGTAGATACATTTGTGCATACAACACACACACACATGTATACACACACACACACACACACACACTCAGAGAAAGAGAGAGAGAGAGAGAGAATCAAATCAAGACTCTACTAACAAACTCCTATAATTTCCATCAACTTTTTAACACTTTTTTTTTCTCTTACAGCATCTCATGGGGATCAGAAACGCCTTGGATTTGCTCTGCAGCTGGCCTTGAACTCATGATCCTTCTGCTCCAATGTGCTGGTAGTACCAGTGTGGACTGCCATGCCTAATTCAAAGTTGTCTACTTTCTAAATGAAAGACAGTGCTGGTATGGCAAGCCTCAGGGCACTCGGGGGCTGAGGTGGTGTGATGGTGGTGGGTGGGCCAAAAGAAGACTTCCTAGACGATCACGTAGACTCTGCCCACTCTGGTCATCTTCTGTAAGGTCCTAAGCACAGATGTTAGGTGGCCACCGAACCCACGGGCAAGCAGGGGCAGGGACAGCCTTCTTGTTGATTTCTTTATCCCCACATAAGATTTATTATAAAAAGAAGTATACACTTGAGCTGGTTCATGCAGGTGCCTGAGAGGCATTGATGCCCCAGAGCTGGGGTTACAGGTGGTGGTGAGACATCTTGACCATGGGTGCTGGGAACCAAATTAAGTTCTCTGGAAGAGCCCCTGAGCTCTTAGCCACTGGGTCATCTTTCCAGCTACCCAAACATCCCAGTATTGTTCTCTCCTAATAGGTTTTTACTGGCTAAGCTAGTGGGTCACATAACCATCGGGCCATGACAGGGAACTGCTTAACAGTTCTTGGTTACTGTGATTGTAAAAGTTCTTTCTAATATTGGAATATTAGAATATCGGCCTTTCTGGAGAGAATAAATAATGTCTAAAGAGACATTTATGTCCCCCTCTGGCTACAGACTAATCAGAGTATTGAAAAGAAGGCCCCTGAGATATTAGAATTTCCCCAGCAATCTCTCTGTGAGGGAGAGAGTTGAAACCCTGGGCCATCCAGAGGAGGAACTGACTCGTTAGCCATAGCAGTAGTGGGCTGGGGACCTTATCTTTCGGAACTGTGTATCTTTTGCTCTCATTAACTCTACGCTCACGTCAGGAACAAAAAGATGGACCCGCGGAGTCGCTCATCTCTCTCCCCTATGAGGCCATGTTGGGTGAATCTCCTCGTTCTCTTTTCTCACTGCTAATGGGTTTATTGAGGATAGTGGTTGGGACGCAGGCTGTGACCCCTAAGTGTAGTAATAATGTCCAAGCCCATGAGAGACTACAAAGAAAAACATAAGGTGTCAGTATTCTGTCTAAACTCCACCTCCACAGTCACCTGGCAACAGCTGGGTATGCTCCTCCCCACAGTTACCTGGCAACAGCCAGATAGGCCTGCCCACTATAAAAGGGGCTGCCTACCCCCTCCTCCCTCTCTTGCTCCACTTGCTCCCCCTGCCTGCATGTTCTCTGTCCTCTCTCCCCTCCCCCTTCCCTTCCCCCTCT